TAGTTTGAATCAAACTGTGTTATCTATGTTCAAATTTGTGTGAAAAAAGTTTTAGGTATTTAATTTTAAGAGTTTGGCTAGGAACCACATTTTTTAACTCCTGAAATAAAGGGGTAAAGTTTAAGGAGGCATATAAGGGGCTAAACTATAAGGGATCATATAGAGATGCCCTTATATGGGTGAGTGTATATACATGTTTGGGAGTGTATGTGTCTCAGATCCTCGGAGAAACGACATGATGACCACCTACATCACGAGAGTTTTGTGGGGAAGTCTACAATTGAAGTTCAGCTTAGGGTGCAAATATAGAAAAAAATCAATGTTGGACGTTGTGTCTTCGATGAATGATCTAGATTGGCTGCTCAAAAGATAGTGGAAGGATATAATCATTTCATGAAATCCCTGCTAACGAATAGATAGGTATATGCAAAACAAATCCCTCCACCAGATTCCATGTGGTCAGTCCATATGCCATCCCAATCATACAATTGAGAAAAGCATCGAGATGTCAGAGATCTGATGGCCTGCATTTATTTTTCCATTTTTTTGCACCCGAGCAGTTGCTTGTACTCTAGTCTTTCCCTAGTAGGGATGTAAATTCTACGGATAATTTTCATTTCGGTTTTGCACCCGCATCCGTTTCTAAGAATATGTTGCATGAATCCGCTGGATATGGATGCGGATACGGATCTGGTCAACATGATATCTAGCGGATATGGTAACGGTAATATTCGACGGTTGTGGATTATCCGGTGTTTTTTGCGGATTACCCGAGGTAATCAAATAGAATTACCTAATAAATTAATCCAATCGACAAGCCCAAATATCCAATTAGCCCACTAACTACAATCATCGCATATAAATTGTTGTTGTATTGGTGAGAGTTATGACTTTAAATGCTTGTTCACTCTCTAATATTATGCAGCTGAATATAAATTTGTTCATTTTGTTTGCACAGTAGAATTAAAATCATGTCCCATTGTAATTGTACGTGTCCGATCTAAGTCCGCTCTGATTTTGCTCTGAATCCGTAATCCGATAAAATATGCATTTGATCTGCATCCAGTTATTATCCGCTCTGCTTTAAATCCGACAAAGAAATATGGTCAAGGATATGGGAAAAGCATTGTCCGATCCAGTACGATCCGATCCGTTTGCATCCTTATTCCCCCGTTATCTAAGCATGGATATATAAGAGGATAATACACTTGGTAAATGATTATATGGGTATTCAGTCAAAAAAATGGTTATATTCGCTCATATGTATCTCTTTCAAACATTTTATAAAAGATAGAAGTGGAGAATTATGCTTTGAAATAATAGCACAACTTTGCGTTAGCTATATGATTGAACTGGCCCTGACTTCAGTGAGCGGAACAAATATTGTGATAGAAACGCATGCTGCCTAAATATGGAGGTGGGCAAGCCATTTGGGAGATACGACATGGCATTACACTCTAGTCATACTTTCTTATTGAATTGTTTGGGTCTTTACCTAAAGATGTCTTGGCTCTCTGGCTAATCAATTCAATTCGATACTCAAGTAATTTGAGAAAAAGAATGCAAACCTCAATTCCCACCATCTCCCTACTCACAACTTTTATAGAGAACTTAAAATACATTAAAAAGCCTATAAATAAGGAGTACGGCGTTTTGGGTCACGAGCGACATGGCGCTCGGTATCCCAATCGTTCGGTGGAGCATGGGGATCTGGGCCAAATTTATTTAGCCAGACAATACGGACTTGAATACATCGAGTTTCAACAGTGTTGTTGTATGCAGCTGGCCCAGGCTCATCACGTGAACAGATGTGCGAATATTTGCTTTGGTTTTGAAGTGGCCCAGGTGGATGGTTGGCAGTCAACTGTTGCGCACCTATTTCTTAGTATGGGCCCATGTAATACATGCAGAACAGTTAACAACGGCTCTAAATAAATTCTCAAGAAAAGAAAACTACGGCTCTAAAAAGAGATAATTAACTATTTTTGCGCATTAAGAGATAATTAAGTATGTTCCTGAAATTCACTAAAAAAGACACAGCCCCATAAAGAAAAAAAATTACTACACCGACAGGCAAATGTTTATTGATGATGGTTTACGGGGCGGTCTCTCTGGTAATCCTATCTCCTCCCCTGATTTTTCTTGATGTGTCCTTTGTGATTTTCAACCGGCCAACCCCATCATTTCACATCAGCCCATAATTCCAATCTATAAATATTTGCGTATAACTGTAGCATTATTGCTTAAAAGAATGATGATTAAGTACGATGGTGGAAACACTGAACTTTTTTTTTCTGGTGGCTCAAAGCACTAGGAAGGCTTCTTTTCTCTTTGTTAGTTTTTTTCATTATTTTTCATCATTCCTTGTTTTCCCATTTTCTTTACATATGTTTTCTTTTGAAATTCATTTTCTTTTCTTTTCTTTTTCTGTGCAGTGATTGAACATTGTTTTTTTTTCTAAGTTTGCTTATACGGATCTTTGGTTGTCCTTCATTTCATGCATGGCCAGATAATTTGTTTGGGGCAATATGCCATGATGTGGTACTTAATCGTGAAAAAAAAGCTCCGTATTAATTTTGAAATTTCATAATGTGCCCATTTTGATTTATTGGGGTCAATTTGTGGTGTTATCATTTGAATCATGGAGGACATTGAAGTGAAGTGTACTTTTTGATTGCCAAACTGACCGATAAGAATGTCTTCATCTGGAGAATATATAACAGCCCTAGTTGCTTTAGTAAAAAAATCCTATCAATTACTAAAAATCATGGGCAGAACATTAGTAAATAGTGTCAGGAAGATCTATGCCCTTGATTACATTAATATTCATAACATTGAAGGTTTATGCAGTTGACATCATGCTAAGTACAGGATATTGCCTTTGGAGGCGGAGCTCGATTTTGAAAAAATTAAATTTCGTCAATTTTCATATTTTCTATGTTTTAAAAAATTCTGAAAAAAATACAGATATACATGGAGGCAGAACACACATGTGTGTAAATTTTCAGGTCAAAATACGTTGAAATGAGGGCTATGCAAAAAAAGACAAATCTGGGGATTTTTAACACATGATACTATTCATCCTCGCAAGCATGAATTTATCTTTTTTGTACAGGTCGCATTTCAACGTATTTCATCTTGAAATTTTACATACATACACATAACATCCTTGTTTACTTGCACAAACTTTTTCAGACTTTTTTGAAACCAAAAAGTTTGAAATTTGATTTTTTTTAAAGGCCTCTATGAAGGCCAAGAGCCAAACGTCCATTCTCGCTAAGTACGCACTAATAAATTAGATAGACATAAATTAGTCAAGACTGAACAAACCCCTATCCAGCATCTTTTCTAGCCCATCAGTTGGACACCTCAACCCGTGCCATTTATGTCTCTTACCGACCTGCTATGGTGGGAATACGGTCCATATACTTCGATGAGACGCGCACAGGGCAGAAATCACGAGCCAATGTGATGGCCGTGATTCCGAGCTACATGGTGCTCGGGCACCAAAGAGGATTTCCGATAAATAAGATGGATTTAAAAAATTTCCACCGGAAGGGTAGTGGTTTATGCGTAAGCACTAACACTAGCTTGCAAGAGAAGTAAAACAGCGGCATTGAAAAAGTATGGCACTTGGAAGGGCACTAGATTTGATGCCACTTGTCAATGGGTACAAAGGCTTGACTTGGTTGCCCTGTGTAGCAACGTGGTCAGCAAGCTTTTGCATCACTCAAAAAGCACTTCTTTTCAAAGTTGTTGGTGCATAGTGGCGAAAAGCTATTGTGTTTTTATATCGGATCTATGCTTGCTAGGTGGCATGTCGTGACGTGGTATAATTTTTGACGGAGACATCTTCAATTCGCGTAAAATGTGTCTTATTGTATTGGATTAGACAGTGAGACTCTCCAAGTATTCATAGTTCACAAGCTAAGCTTAGTATAGATGGTTAGATTTCTAATGATGTAATCAATCAATCTGGGTTTAAGTTTTAGATTTGATATGAATGCTTGTATATTTGTTGAATTTGACTTTTCAGCAGTATTCTTTCAGTGATATGATGTATTTGTCGACTGCGACATGGTTTGCGACGACTTCGTTAATCTCAATATACGTGAGCTCGATCTCTCAAAGGTATTCACAATTCTTCTTTCGTTTGTGGTGCGGTAAATACCTCGAGAGGCCTAAAATTAATAAAAACAAAGCAAATGATTGGACGAAATGAAATATGTGTGGTCTCTTGTCAACGTTTTTTCAAGGACCTCTCATCAACGTCGTACCAAATGTTTGAGTCGGAGAGCATGAGATCGTTGTATCATCAATAGGCCCATTTCTCATGATCTCATAGATATTTGCTGATAGAACTTGAGCGTACGCTATGCCACTTGATTGCATTATGGAGGATCTTGTCATTAACTTTGATTGGGATGCCGCTCAAAAGGCGAGTAGGTGCATGCCCAAATAATGGAGGCAAGTGACAGCAAGATTCTTACGCCGACCAACGGGAGGTGGCCACGTCAGACCCAGCTGCTCCACGTAGGCACCCGACGTGGCAGACCTCCGCCCCGCTGCATGGACCACCCGCGCCGATCGATGCACCGAATTCCCCCGGATGCCGCCAGCGTGGCACCTGCGGACGGCATCGCGGGCGCCGGCCCAGCAATACTTATCGACAAACAAACGGCCCACGTCTCGCCACGTCACCCCCTCGATGCGTTCTTATCCCCACGATCCGTCCGACGGGCCCTGCCACTCTCCACTCCCCCTCGTCAAAGTCTCAAACCCCCTCGCCTCCCACCTCACTCGCCACTAGCGGAGGCCAACCCCCTCCTCCCGCCGGTTCCTACAAATTCTCGCCGCCCCGCCGGTTCCACCTGCGATTGACGCGCTTCCACTCCTGTTCTTGGAGCCGCTGATTCGGAGCTGGGTCGTTTGATCGGCTTTAGAGTTGACCGGAGAAGGGAGGAGTTGCTCTGTTTCTTGGCTAATTTCGGCGGGCGGCGATGCCGGACTCCGACAACGACTCCGGCGGGCCGAGCAACGCGGACTTCTCGTCGCCCAAGGAGCAGGACAGGTTCCTGCCGATCGCGAACGTGAGCCGGATCATGAAGAAGGCGCTGCCGGCCAACGCCAAGATCTCGAAGGACGCCAAGGAGACGGTGCAGGAGTGCGTGTCCGAGTTCATCTCCTTCATCACCGGCGAGGCCTCCGACAAGTGCCAGCGCGAGAAGCGCAAGACCATCAACGGCGACGACCTGCTGTGGGCCATGACCACGCTCGGCTTCGAGGACTACATGGAGCCGCTCAAGCTCTACCTGCACAAGTTCCGCGAGCTGGAGGGCGAGAAGGCCGTCGGCGCCGGCGGCGTTGGCGCGTTACCCTCCCCCGGCGGCTCCGGCTCGCAGCAGAGGGAGTCGACGCCAAGGAACAATGGCGGAGGCGGTGAGGCCGGCGGCTACGGCGGCATGTACGGCGGCCCCGGGGCAGGGGGAGGCGGCGGCGGCGGCATGTTCATGATGATGGGGCAGCCCATGTACGGGTCCCCGCCGGCGGCAGGGTACCAACATCCGCAGCATCACCACCAGATGATGACGGGAGGGCAAGGCGGGTATGGCTACGGCGACGCCGGCGCCGGCGGCGGGTCTTCGTCGTCCTCACCGTTCGGCAAGCAAGACAGGGCATGACCTACCCTGCTTGCACGAGCTTGTTCGTTGGCGTGTCTGTTTTACTGGTAACCGGAGTTGCCAACGGCCAGCCGCCAGGCCAGTTAATCTCCACAGTACTACTCCTTTTTTGTGTTCTGAATGTGGTTTAAGTCAGTCGATTTTATTCCAAATTAGCAGCACCAGCGCGACTAGTTGCATCTAGCCCGCTACTGTAAAATGGGCTACTGACAAGGTGCATTTACATACAAAAATTAATGGCAAGTGCATTTTGACAGTGTAGTACTGACGATCGAGCATGTTCTGTGGTCACACGAATGCGCATACATACTCTGGCTGGGCAGTGGTACTGCCTGATTGGTACTTTTCCGTGGAGATAATTTGGAATATCGGGGTGTCGGCATGGATAATCCTTGGATGAGGAGACTTATTCCGAATACCGGGTCTTCTGAGCGCTAGTGTACTGCTAAGATGTCAGAGTGGTTAACACTGTACGTATTAGGAAATGAAACACTGAAGGGAACTGAAGAAACACCAACATTCTTCAGTTAACTGATGGAAACGCAGGACTAAATCTGAATCCTTCGTTTCCAAAGCCTCCAGCCTCCAAGGTTGACACGTGGGCACAAGCCGCGCATAAACAAGGCCATTAAACAAATATCGTGAGATGGCACGTCATCAACGGGCAGCTAAACGACAGGCACAAACTGCTGGCCTGTGATGAGTTACCAACCCACCCTGAATTAATTTAATTTAATTTAATTCAAAAGAGGCTAGCTAGATAGTGTAAAGTTTATGCAGGCTGAGCAGGCTCTAAAACGTCATTGTTTATCCGGATGAGTGAGCAGTTAGTTGCACTTAGCTTTCAGTCACAGAGCCACAGGCGGCAAGAAAGGGCGAAATTAATAAAGGAGAAAAGGCAAGGAAGATAAGGATGGATGGACGGACGGATGGATAGCACTTGGGGTTTACTGCCCTGAGGTGGAAGTTTCCACTGGCCTTTTGGGAGCAGCGGCGAGTGAGGCTGGATTCCATTGGCCAGGGAAAGATCTCGCTGCTAATTGGACGACAGGTACGTGCATTGGCACCATCTGCGGCAGCAGCAGCTTCTTCTTCTTCTTCTTCTTTTTTTTTTTTCTTCTTCTTCGTCTTCGTCCGTGCAGAGAGGTCCGGGCCACCTCGATTTTGCCCTTTGCATGGGGAGAAGAAGCGTGCTAAAGGGCTGGTTCTGTTTGACATTTCTCATTATTGAGGTCGCTGTCCACTCACTCGCTCGCTCTTGGCGAGGAGACACATGTTGCTGGGGAGATCGGAGGTGAGATATTCTTGGCCGTGTGGTAAAAGCGAGAAAAGAGAGAATCGCTTGGTGCAAAGGGGGGCGAGATACACATGGAAGTGGAAAAGTATGCCGTGCGCGCGCTTTGGCATCGGAACATGCCAATTTGTTATGAGAGGATATGTGCAGAATTTTAGGCGTGGATTCAGACAGCGATGCTAATTTGGTGTTGTGCGTGCAGCAGTCTAGACAGATGTTGCTTCTCCTACCCTCCCACGTCAGGCCAACTCCACCGCACGACCCCAAACGGACGTCTGGATTAGCCGGATTCTGTCCGTTTGGGGTGTCGATGGGTTCGCCCGTGTCCGATTTTGTCAGATGGGTCGTGCGTGCGCGCACCGCGCGGCCGCACCCTAAATCGTGTCCATGGTGGACGTAAATAAAAATATATAGAAATAACTAAAAAAGTAAGTAAACGCATTTAAAAAAACATAAAACATATATAGGGGTCGGACACAAAACGGCCCAGTTTCCACGGCCACTTAAAAGGCCCAGTTTCATAATTAACATATAAAAACAAAATAAAAAACTCCCCCCGCGCGCTCCTGCCGCGCCCGTCGGTGTCGTGGCCGTCGCCGTCTTCACTGGCTGCCGCTGCCGTCGTCGTCGCTGACGAGGTCGACGTAGGCTGGCGGCGTCCACAGGTGGGCCGGAGGTGCGTGGTGGACGGGGGCGGGCTGGATGGCCGGAGGTGTCTGCACCACCTCCTCCCGTGGCGACGCCTCCCGCTCCGGTGAGCGCGGCAGAGTGGGGCACCAGTTCACGCCCACGCCGGCGGCCATCTCCGGAGCAGTGTAGGACCAGCCCCACCCCTGGCCCAGCAGCTGCTGGAACACGACCGGCGGGTCCTCCTCCATCGCCTGCAGCTCCGGGAAGGCGACGTCCCCGGCGGCAGAGAGCGCCATGGCCTCCTCCAGGCCGTTCCACTGCCGCTCGTCTGCGTGTTCATGGAGTCGTCCATGACACGCTGCAGGAGACGGGCCTCCTCCTCCGCTATCATGCGAGGAGGTGGAGGGGGCGACGGAGACGGCGAAGGCGACGGCGTGGGTGTCAGGCCGCGCACCCGCGTACGCCCGCGCGCCTCTGCACATGGCCTCCGCGGCCCCGAAACGGTGCCGACGAAGTACGACGCGCGCCACGTGTCGTGCTCGTCCTGCAGCCATGTGTCCCACAGCGGGGAGTCGGGGCATACCTATGGTCGTAGTACAGGTCGTCGGGGAGGAGGCGGCGGCGCGCGATCTCATCGCGCCGGGCACGGCCGGTCGGCGGCACTGGCGGGATGGGGACCCGGTCCACAGAGAGGTGCCATCCGTTGGGGAGGTGGGCATCGCTCCACGGGACCGGCGTCCTCGTCTCCCAGTACCTCCGGCACACGTCCGCGCAGATGTACTGCCGGTCGCGGTAGCCGGTGGGCCTAGGGGCAATGGTGAAGGGGGCCGGCGCGGGGGCTCGACGGGAGGAGCGCGGCGGTGACGCGGGGGCTCGACGGGAGGAGCGTGGCGGTGACGCGTTTTGCTCCTCCTTCACGGATACGCGGCAGCTGCCCGAGGAGGGGCCGGCCTCGCGGTCGTGCTTCCCCTTGCGGCCGTAGTTCCAAAGGCCCATGGTTGCGGCCGGCCGGCGAGTTCAAGGACGGGGAGTGGCTAGGGTTTCTAGGGTGTCGGCTTTCGAGGGGGCAGAGAGGGGCCGGAGTGGGAAGTGAGGACGACGACCGGTTCACGGGTCCCCATTTAAGAAGGACGACGACCTTTCACTGGGCCGATGACAGGTGGGGTCTGCCACCCGTGCGCAGATGTTGGCGGCCGGGAGGTAGGTGGCCGCCCCGCCACACGGCCAGACGCGGACGAGCAGCGCGTCTGTTCGGTGTCCGCGGCGACCCAAACCCGACGCAAAGATGCGCTTGAAATGGGTCGGCCCGGACACAAAACGGACCAGATAGGTCTGGGCCGTCGCGCGCTAGGCCGCCTCGTTTGTCCGTTTTACCCCAAACGGACGGGGCCGGACAGGATGGGGTCGCGCGGTGGAGTTGGCCTCAGTGAAGACAATACTTACAATTGACACTTACACTGATGAATCTTCACAGTCTATACTCGAAGGGTTGGGCGCGCTTTGCTGCGCCATTTGTCGTTGGATTTTTATAAAAAAAGTTACTCGCCCCGTTTCAAAATATAATATGTATTTGTTTTTTGAAAAGTCAAATCTTTTTAAGTCTGACCAAATTTATAAAGAAATATATCAATATCAATAATATGAAATCGGTATCATTAGATTCATCATGAAGTGGATTTTCATATATTATTTATTTGGTATGTGGATGTCGATATTTTTGGTTCTGAACTTGGTAAAATTAAAGAAATTTTAATTTTTCAAAATTAATACACCTTATATTTTGGTACTCACGAAATATTTGGTTTGGTGAGTGGGGGAGATGATGGAGTGTTTTATTTATATATTTATAATTTGGTGTTTTGGTAGGCCTTTCACGGTGTGATTCTATGTTATCTCCTCATCGAGGTCCTCCCGGGAGTCTTCCAATCTCGTTTTCCCCATCACCGGTCCACCGAAGCATGAGAGCTACCGGGACCGGTGTGCCTGCCGTGGGAAGGAGAGGATGAGGGTGGTCGAGGCGCGCCTCGCTGCTGGAATGGCGGCGGCGGAGGTGGCTGGTGCAGCAGCTGAAGAAAATATGCCCTAGAGCCAATAATAAAGTTATTATTTATTTCCTTATGTCATGATAAATGTTTATTATTCATGCTAGAATTGTATTAACCGGAAACATAATATACTCCCTCCGTTCGGAATTACTTGTCGTAGAAATGGATGTATCTAGACATTTTTTAGTCTTAGATACATCAACTTCTGCGACAAGTAATTCGGAACGGAGGGAGTATGTGTGAATACATAGACAAACAATATGTCACTAGTATGCCTCTACTTGACTAGCTCGTTGATCAAAGATGGTTAAGTTTCCTAACCATAGCCAAAGAGTTGTCATTTGATTAATGAGATCACATCATTAGGAGAACGATGTGATTGACTTGACCCATTCCGTTAGCTTAGCACACGATCGTTTAGTATGATGCTATTGCTTTCTTCATGACTTATACATGTTCCTATGACTATGAGATTATGCAACTCCCGTTTACCGGAGGAACACTTTGTGTGCTACCAAACATCACAACGTAACTAGGTGATTATAAAGGTGCTCTATAGGTGTCTCCAAAGGTACTTGTTGGGTTGGCGTATTTCGAGATTAGGATTTCTCACTCCGATTGTCGGAGAGGTATCTCTGGGCCCTCTCGGTAATGCACATCACTTAAGCCTTGCAAGCATGGCAACTAATGAGTTAGTTGCGGGATGATGTATTACGGAACGAGTAAAGAGACTTGCCAGTAACGAGATTGAAACTAGGTATTGAGATACCGACGATCGAATCTCGGGCAAGTAACATACCGATGACAAAGGGAACAACGTATGTTGTTATGCGGTCTGACCGATAAAGATCTTCATAGAATATGTGGGAGCCAATATGAACATCCAGGTTCCGCTATTGGTTATTGACCAGAGACGTGTCTCGGTCATGTCTACATAGTTCTTGAACTCGTAGGGTCCGCACGCTTAACGTTTCGATGACCGTTATATTATGAGTTTATATGTTTTGATGTACCGAAGGTTGTTCGGAGTC